TATAGAAATCTAAGAGAATTGTAGCAAAGACCCATGTTGGGAAGGACGGGAAGGGTAGAAAGGCAAAAATGTTGGCAAGATCAAAAACAACACAAACAGTAGTGGCAAGTCTGAAATCCAAGAATAAAGTACTCATGTTGATACTCAAAAGTCCAGGTACTTTGAATTCAGTGCATAATCACATCAACCTTTAACAATGACAGTGACATCCTTCAAGACTGACTTTCTAGGTTTTTTTCTACTTCTGTTTCACCTCTGCCCTCACTCTACACTCCAGCTGTAGGCTGCTGTTGTAGGGTGGCTTCAAGTCTTCTAAGGATAGCAAATGCTTAAAGGGTTCACTGATCCACCGTCCACGTTAGCCAGCTACTAAGGCTTGTGTGCCCAGCCCTTTCCAATGGGGCTTTTCCAAACATTAGAGTTCCTATTTTGTCTCTCTAGAGTTTCCTGAGTTCCTTTTCATTATCTTTGAAGTAAAAGAACTCTGTCTTTGTGTCCTTCCTCATTTGGACTAGAGCAGTCTCATAAAGATAATCCTCCTTCCATCCACCAGTTCTTAGTTAACCTGTTATGAAATTTGGAGATCTGGTAACTCCATTCATTTTTTTGCCATCCAAATGCCTAATTCCACATCCTGATACAGATAGTCAGCATTTCTTAGTTTATGATAGTGCAATTTGGTGATATTTCAAATACCTAAGTCTTTGAATATTGTTATTAATCATCTTTTGTAACTAGGATATGGTTAGAACTGAAATTCTTCAACTTTCCACATTCCAATTTTTGCTCGGTAGAGTTTATTTTATGGTTTGTTCTGTTTAAGATCATGGGTTTCAATGCAGAAATCCTTAAAGTCAAGATGTTATGAATATGTGATCCATGGGGGATTTTTACTCTATTTTTGGGTTGGTCTTACACATAAGGCATTAATAGCCCACAAGAAGCAGGTAAGATTACTTGTTGAGCTCTATGAAGAAAACAATCTGCTTCTCTTATTTAGTCTTAAATTTGTTAGCATAGATTAATTGTACAAAGGGGTTTCATTGTGATATTTTCATACATGCATATAAAGATCAAATTCATCCCATTTACATTACTTTCTTAATTCACATCCCCTATCCCTTAATAGTTTTTAATGGGCTTCATTATGCTATTATCATGCATACATATAAGTCTATCATATTCACCATCCTTCATTCTCTCCTTTCCCCCTCTCTGTGTCCCCAGTATGCTTCTTTATTTAAAAGGCCACCATGACTATAAAAAATGTGTATCAGTCTAATCACGATAGTGGACTACAACAAGGGGAAAAAGGAAATAGGCAAGCATATGCAAGGTGTACTTAATTTTTGTAAAATGTTGACTTTGAAATATGTTGAGGTATCACACTGTACATAAACATATTTCCAGTGGACATTATGAAGAGTATTAGGATTTTGTGTGATAGACTATCTTCTAAATGACTACATTGCTCAGAGATCCCACAGTCAATAAGAGCACCCTAGAATGCTATTGCTGGGATTATCAAGTTCTCAAAGCCATGAGAGGTGTGTATGATAAGTCAGTTCGAGATATTGGGATTGGAGAAAAGAATTCCTATATAATCATTGCAACTAGGCACGTCCTTTGCAATCCAAAACTGCAGTTCTCATTTTCTGACAATACTGTGTGATTTACCTATCTGATTTGGTTTATTGTCAGTCTCTCCCACTAGAATGTAAGCTGCCTGAAGTTATGGGCTTTTGTTTTGTTCTCTGTTGTCTCCTCCAAGCTGACCTCTAGTTCATGAAAGGCTTGCATAGTGAATGAGCTATGAAGAAAGGGTGGAAGAATGGGAAGACAGATTTTTTGACCCAATAGCAAGATTTTAGAAATAATGTATATTGTTGACAGGCTGGGTGGTCTTCCCCAGGAAATGACACCTTCCCTAGAGTTCCAGTTGGAACCAAATGAGTTTGGGTTGGGAAATTTTGTGGGTTGACAGATTAGAGGCATCTATCCCCTGCAACCCCTGATTCTATACCTGAGCCTTTATCAAAGAATTTTCAATGATAGAAATCTTAGACAATCATATTGTAAAGACAAAAAGTGAATGACTTGACAGCTGATTGAACTTGGAGTATGAGGAGTAAGAAGCCATAGATGTAACTGTGCTTCTCAGCCTGGAGGTTTTGGTGCCATTGAAAGAACAGAATTTTTGGAGAATAAGTAGTAGCACCCCTCTCTATAGGAAGGTATCTGATGATGATTTTTAAAAGGTGCCATAGGCAAATAGTCTCTTTAGCAATATGATTTCATGTAATTATGTAGCATGTAGGTCCTATAGAAAACTATCACAACAATGGGCTCTCTTTTCTGCCCCCACCCCTGACTGACCCTTACCCCACTGATGCCTTGTGAAAGCAGCTACTGAGTAGTTGAGTGCAGTGACTTGGGATCTGGAAGAAAATGAAGTCAACAGGGAACCATGAATAAGCTGTGAAAACCCAGTAGAAATGAGAAGGGGAGGGACTTTGGAGAAGTGGATGAGGAAGGCATTGGGATGCATTGAGAGAAGGTGGAGTGATCACTGTTGAATTGTGGTTTCAGGAAAGGGAGCATTTGCCCAGCTGCAGCATTACAGTATCCCTGTAGTATGGATTTATCCAGTGGACAGTCCAGAAGGGGAGAGACCACAGAATCCAGGGGAAGGGGGGCAATGAACTAAGAGTGTTCTGGAAAAGTAATTTTCTTCTCAAATAGCTGACAGCAGCCCTTTCTACAATACGGGAAAGCTTTTACTTACTATACAAGAAGGCTCTGAGTAGATGCCTAGTACCCACAGAAGCAGAGATTGGGTCGAAACCTGAAAGAATATGGTTTCAAGGGTTTGTGGTATTGTGTTTTGCATTTGCAATTTTGGGGCCATAATTTAGCTTTAATGAATTCGGGCATGTTCAATCAAATTAAAAATCAGAGGGTTTTCTATGGGAGATGTCCCAATGTTACAGCTGAAAGAGGTGACAGTCACATTACTGCCATCTAAAATAATTTATTAACCGTGTCTGTGCAAACAATTCTGGTAGGCACAAAATCTAAGGGACTTTCTGTTTCAATGCATCTTCTGCCATCTCCTTCCTCCTAGTACCATTTGCTTTTTACCTGTGAATAAAATGGATACCTGGAAAACTCCATCTTAGCAGAAAGCATTACAGGACAAGAGAATGCTGGCTCCATCATTGCCTCAGACACCACTAGGGAAGTGTACTAGAAGGCTGTTGTTCTCAACTTCTCATTCTTGTTTGCTTAGAGCTTGCAATAAAAACATCACTTCTTCAGTTTCTACTTAGGAATAGAAAATCTGGGTAGAGTTGGCAAGGGAGGTTGTGCACCATCAGCAGATAACACGTTAATACCGACTCCACTCTTTAACCTTCCTTTTTCAATATGCCACCCAGGTAGGGACCACACTGCACCTGAGACCTAGAAAGGTACACAGGTCTTTCCCTACCGACCTGTGTACTGAAAAGAACACAGTAATGGAATGGAATCTAAGCTACCAACCCAAATCCTTTTACATTTTACCTCTCACAAGCACTTGCCTTATGAAGTGCACACCTATGCGTACACTTACATTTTAGGACAATACTTTTTAAAATAGAGGTAAGTTAGACATGCCTTAGAGAGATGACAGGTCTGCTACACAAAGGTTGTCTGCTTCACCAGCCTCTCTCTTAGGAACTCTGGCAGAGGTGGCTGTCCATCAGGCGCACGGCGGTCTGGCAGCTGAGCGCACCCGCACTCTTCCACGCCCCCAGTCCCTCGCCCGCAGCCTCAGTCTCTGTCCCTCTGGATTCGCACACCAGACCCACTCACAATCGGTGGGGAGCAGCGTGTGCCACACATCTCCAACCCGGGCTTGCTTCAATCATTTATTTATCTTGTGCGCATTGAGAAGCCACCACTGGGTGTTGGTGGGAGGCGCTACTCTGCCCAAATCCCAGCCCGTCCGCGGCGATTCCGCACACACACCCGCACCCACCCGGCTGCGCGAACCCGCTTGGAGCCGCCTCTGGCCGGGGATCCGCGTCGCCCGGGACCCCCGACGCGTCTCCAGCTGGGCTCGCCAAGCTCCACGGCGCAGCGGCTGCGGCGCAGGATTCAGCATTCTCCGCCTGCGGGTCGGGTGGCCCCCGCCGGCGCCCCGTGCGTCCCGACCCCCAGCTCGTGGCGGCGTCGCTCGCCAGAGTTTGACTCTCGGGCAGCCGCGGCGGCGGCGGCGGCGGCGGCGCGGGGCCGCGGGCGGCGGGCGCGAGGCTTGCCGGCCGCTCTCCCTCCGTGCTGCGCTCGGATTGGTCTCTGCCTGAGAGCGCTGGCCGAGGGTTGGCTGCGGGCCGGCTGAAGAACAGGTGCACTTGGCCGCCCGGGCTCGCCGAGCAGCCGCCGACGAACGCGGCGCACCGGGCCGGGGCGAGCGGCGGCCAGGCCCGCCCCTGTGTCGGAATGCGGCTCGCCGGTGCCCGGCACCCCACGGCCGACCAGCCCGGGCCCTGAAGGCGGCGCTAGGCCGGGCGGCGGCGCGGGCGGCGCCCCAGGGAGCGGGCCGGGCGCGGCGCCCCGAGGATGCCGGCGCGGCTGGAGCGCACGCAGGCGGTGGGCAGCGGCGACAGCGGCACCAGCAGCAGCAGCAGCAGCAGCGGCAGCGGACGCGGGGCCCCGGCGCGCAGGAGGCCGTTCGGTGGGCTGCACACGCGCCCCGCCGCTCCCTGACCGACCCGCGGCGCCGGGGGCCCGGCGCGCCCCTCTCCGCGCTCCTCGCCGCCCCCTCCCCGGCCCGCGTCCCCTCCCCCGCTCCGCTCCGCTCCTCCCCGCCCGCCGCCCGCCTCTCGGGGGAGGGGCGTGGGGGCAGGGAGCCGATTTGCATGCGGCCGCCGCGGCCGCTGCTTGCGCCCGAGCCCGCCGCGGCCGCCGGAGCCCGCGCCCGGCCCGCGCGGCCCCATGCCTCTGGCGCGGCCCTCGGGGGGCGAAGGTGAAGATCGGCTCCTAGGATGAGTGAAGGGGCGGCCGCTGCCTCGCCACCTGGTGCCGCTTCGGCAGCCGCCGCCTCGGCCGAGGAGGGCATCGCGGCGGCTGCGGCGGCGGCGGCGGCGGGCGGGGGCCCGGACGGCGGCGGCGAAGGGGCGGCCGAGCCCCCCCGGGAGTTACGCTGTAGCGACTGCATCGTGTGGAACCGGCAGCAGACGTGGCTGTGCGTGGTGCCTCTGTTCATCGGCTTCATCGGCCTGGGGCTCAGCCTCATGCTCCTCAAATGGATCGTGGTGGGCTCCGTCAAGGAGTACGTGCCCACCGACCTGGTGGACTCCAAGGGAATGGGCCAGGACCCCTTCTTCCTCTCCAAGCCCAGCTCTTTCCCCAAGGCCATGGAGACCACCACCACGACCACTTCTACCACGTCCCCCGCCACCTCTTCCGTCGGCGGCGCCGCCTCCTCCAGGACGCCCAACCGGATTAGTACCCGCCTGACCACCATCACGCGGGCGCCCACGCGCTTTCCCGGGCACAGGGTGCCCATCCGGGCCAGCCCGCGCTCCACCACGGCACGGAACACTGCGGCCCCTCCGACGGTCCTGTCCACTACGGCCCCCTTTTTCAGTAGCAGCACGCCGGGCTCCCGACCTCCAGTGCCAGGAGCCCCCAGTACACAGGCGATGCCGTCCTGGCCCACTGCGGCATATGCCACCTCCTCCTACCTTCATGATTCTACTCCCTCCTGGACCCTGTCACCCTTTCAGGATGCAGCTGCCTCCTCTTCTTTCTCCTCCTCTTCCTCCTCCTCCTCCTCCTCCTCCACTACCACCACTACACCAGAAAGTAGCACCAGCCCCAAATTTCGTAAGTAAACGCTAGGTCTCAACTATGATTTACTACCTAGTTTCCTTTCTGCCCTCTTTCTCCCCTCGCCGCGGGTCTTCTAGCGAGCCTCCTCGCCATCCCAGGTTTGGGGCACAGAGTGTGGGAGACGCTTGAAACTGGCCTCAAGGGGGGCGGGGAGATGTTGGCCTGTTTCTGGGTCCGGGTGTGGAGTGGGTGCGGTGGGAGGTGAGGGAGATCTCCAGGGGTGGGATCCACTGGTCCTACTTCAGTGGGTCCCAAATGAGAACCAAGCTCCTAACTTCCTTCAAAGGGTTAACGAGAGTGCAATCAGTCCTCTCTGCAGACCTGCGGGGCGAGCTCCTGAATCCCGTTCCTGTAGGGGGCTGGGGAGGGAGGGCCTTCCCAAATGTACCCAGCCCTTTCCCCGCCCGCCTCTGGGAAGGTAGGGGTTGGAAACACACACATGCAAATTTACCCACCATAAACCGCAAAGGGAAGTTATGCCCATGTGTGTGGACGATTTGATGGAAATGCAGGTAGAATGGAGCTGAAGTCGCTCCCAGCAGCCTGACCCAGGAGGGAATCAGGAAGGGTTAATTAGAAGCCATTGGGGGAGGCGGGGAAAGGGGATGATCCAAGGCAGAGGGCTAAACTGATCACCTCCCCCGCCCCCCAGCCTGACAGTGGCCCTGCAAAGGTGTAGAAATTGCTTCTGTGGCCACGGAGAGTGACTTAACTGGAAGAAAATGTGTGCAGGGAGCCCTGCAGAGCTGCCGCCCCTAGGGTCCTGGTGAAGGAGGAGTTTTTTTCAGCTCTGCCAAGCATTTGCTTTTGTTCCTTTCCCAAAGGTGGGGTGTGAACCTCATCTTTCCCATCGTACCTGAAAAATACGGGCGGGCTGGGACGGAGTTCCTTACACCAGAGGGTGAGAATATCCAACCCTTTGTAACATGTCACCCTTTGAATGTAGCATGTTCAACCTGGCTCAATTGGTGCCACTAACTGGCCAGTTCACATCAAGCACTGTGGCTTTCTCTGTATGGGAGGAGTGTGCTTTCTGTTCTTATAAATGCTGTAGGTCAGTAGTTGACCTACCGCCCCTCACCTTCTTCTAGAGAAATCTCAGGAACCTTCTTTATCTGACCATGGATCAGGACAGGGGAATAGTTTGTGCAACCTGTGAAGGTTATTTAGGACAAACCCCCGGAGTGGCAGCTTAAGTTCTGTGCGAAGCTATTTTGCAAAACTGTCTGGTTATGCTGTCTTGATGCTGTATTTCTGTGTTGAGCTATAACATCTGGGGGAAAGAAAGAGTGGTTATCATTAACTCTTCAGTGCTGGTAGGAATTCCTGGGTTGCTTTCAGTCATCTGGTAATTTTTCATTTTCTAGACTTGTGCTCTTACTGTGGATGTTGTTTAACCCTTGAAACTTTTTCTTTCTTTCTTTTCTTTTTTTTTTTTTTTGATTTAGTGTACTTATAAGTAAGGTCCAGAAGAGAGAGTCTTTTTTTTTTCCCTTTTGCTTATACTCTGCTTTAGAAATAACAGGTTATAAGATAAATTGGGAGACAGGAAAGAAGGATTCTGCCACAAACCAGAATGGCAGTAGAGCTGGGAACTTGCAGCTTCTCTCAGCTTTGGTTGAAGCAGTCATTTCTGAGAGCATATTTTCTCAGGAGGTGTTTAGAGGCTCCTCTCAGCAAATCTAGCTTCAGTTTTGTGGACGGATAAAGCATTTGCAAGTGCGTGTGTGAGCATATTCAATGGATTGAAAATAGGTGTCTTTCTGTCCAAAAGACCACAGATTTTTTTTATCCCTTCAGATGCAGTTGATATGAATAATGGAGTGTGGGTGTATTTCCCAACCCTGGCTGTGTGTGTATGTGTGTGTGTGCACGCGCGGGTGCGCTTGTGGGGGGGACACTGCACATGGTGGGGGCATTTCATGTTCTTTCTCAATTGATTTCCTGGCAGTCCATTTGGGGGTTCTTTAAAGAAAAGCCCAAGGTAATTATTTCTGCCCCTCCATGCTCTCTTTCTACATTGTGTGGAAGGGAATGGCAGGCCTGTTTAATAAGTAATGATTATTGACAGGGCTCTCAGCCCCAAAGGAAAGGGGGGTAGGTATTCTGTAAAGAGTTTCAGTGGCCATATAGACATGTAACCCATATTTGATTTATTTGTAGATGAGATCCAGCTCTTCCTCTGTTTTAAGCCTTTAACAAGGAGTTGATTTAATGTCTAAAAATGCAAGTGTGCAAATCCAGTAGAGATTGACCTGGTTTGCATACATCAACAAGGGAAATTTTAATGAAGGTAGATTATGTAGTTTCCATAGAAGGTGTATTTAAATAGGTAGGTTGTATGGTAATTCAAAGAAAAAGCAGTTGTTTTTTTTTTTTTTTTCCCCATACAGGATTGCAGCATGATTAACAAAAGAAAATGCAGATCCCATCTGAGGGATTATCACACTGCTACTGTAGGCTGAGTAGTGGCCTAAATAAATAGCTGGCATTCAGATTTTTCACTTGTTTTGATTATGTCAATAAAGTTCCCAGGAGAGAAATTCCCCTTTTCCCAGCTCCTACCTTCATACTTCAGTGAGGGTTTTGCTTCTATTTCTCTTTTTCTTTTAATTGCAAGTCCTGTGTCTTGTTGCTGCTCTTGAGGAAGGTTAAAGATGATACTAAGTTTTTGTGAGATTACCCCACAATTTTTTTAATAGTCAGGGTCGTGACTCTTGAATTGAACATCTCAAGGCTTAGAGGATGAATGTCTTTGTGACATCTCGGAGCATTCAGAAGGATCGTATCTGCAAAGACAGTTTAGCTCTTTGAGTGGAAGAAGCTTTTCACTGAGAATGAACACACTTGCTAATGGATAAAAACATTTTTGCAAGCAAAAGCTATTTTTGCTATAGCCAAGGCCCAGTTTAGAGGACTGTTACTAGTTTTCTGAAGAATTGAAGATAATGTATTCTAAACAATAAGAGAAAGAGGGCTTGGGATTTGATTCTGGCTTTCCTCTCCTCCATCCCTTAGGCTTGACAAGTTTCCTGTGTCCCTGGAATCTCCTGGCTTGCAGTGGCCCAACACTTGTCTTCCTTTCAGATTCTTTGAATATAAACACTTTAAACATATTACTACTAGGTGATTATGGCATATTGTATCTGAAAATGTAGGATGCTTTACACATTTAGCAAGTTAAAGAGAGGTTACTACATACAGAAGAGTGATTCTGTCTAGCATACACAGCTAGCCATTCCTTTTGATAGCACTGTAAATTGTATTTTCAGATTTGAAACATAGGTAGGTGTCCAGTGTTGCCAGTGAGGATATGGATTGTTCTTCTGGAATTCTTTTCCTCCACGGAAAGCACATTTTTTTACAGGTGAAAGGCTAAATTCAAATGCAAAGATAATGAGTGCCTATTCTTTCAGTCATGTTTAGACCTTTACATAGTTAATTCCGGTGGATAAGATCACCAATACTGAGTAGTGCATTCAGAGAGGGAATGAATGAAAATGTATTACTGATGTTTAAACTTAAGAAAGCAACTTTAATTTGTTCAATTTGTTTTTTTTTTAAATGTTACCTAATCACAGCTGTAGTAATCTTTTAGAGATGAATTGATGAAGTCAACTGTTTTACTGTCTTTTTCAACATTTGTCACTCCTACAATATGAGTGCTGTTGGTTGCTTTCTAAGCAGACTCAGATGTAATTTGTTTAAATAAAGTTGTTCCTGTACCTTATCCTCTGTCTACATGAGTCAAGGCCTTCAAGGAATTCCAACATAGAATGTACTGACCCCAATCTTGCATGGTAACCGACACGAGAGGATTCAGAACTCGAGATCAGTATTTCCTATGAAATCCAATTGAAAGCTTTTTCTAGAGGCAGTGCAGCAACTGGAGTATGTTTTGATTTCCTTTGGCCTTAATATGGATTATGGGGGCTTTTCTCCTTTAATCAATTACACTGTACAGTTTTGCTCTTTAGACAGTTACATTGTACTTCATGGTCTTAACAGCAACAAAAAAAGTAGGTGGGAGCAATTAGCAAGGCTATTTTTAGGGCCCTTTTGAGTTTGGTTTTAGTTCCTCCTCAGTTCTTCCTTACTGGGGTGAGAGATTGGAGGTGTGTTTGGTAGAGGAGAGTCCCTTTTATGGTTGATTTGAGAATACAAACACCCTTGTATTTGTGCTATTTCCCAGATAGATTTTTAAAAACAGTGTTGATCCATAGCTCATGAGAAAGAAAAAAATAATAATTCAACCAAAACAAGATGATTTATGGCAATTTCTCTGTTACTAAAGAGCTAAGGTTTTATATTTTTTTTATAAAAGCCTTTTTATTAGTATATGATAGTTTTACAGGGGATTTCGTTGTGACATTTCCCAAGGTTTTCTAAGCCCACATTGGGTCCCAAGCAGTGCCATGCTGGAGACCCACTGCATGAAGGAACAAGATGTCTCCTCCCTCTGGATCTCGTAGCACTTCTTCCTGGTCACACCACGGTGTGAGAACTTCTTTTGTAGAAATTCTTTTTTGTCATAACCTCTCATATCCAGTACCAAACATATCTCAATATTCTATCTGGGATGTCGAAACTAGAACAGGAAAGCTGGCCCTGAAATACAGAAGAGCAAGGAAAGAGCCGTAAATCAAAGTCTTTAAAATGCATTTGAATTGCTTCTGAACAGAACGGAAATTCGCTTTTCTTTCTTTCTATCTTCAGACTGTGGGTTGGGTCAGGCCCAGTGCTATATGGCCTGGACAAATACCACAGAGACCTGTGGAGACATTTTCCTTGTCTGCATACAGCAGTGTCCCTCTAAGGCACGTGTGCAGCAGTGATGGTGGAGGGAGGAATGGACTCAGCTCTGTAATGCCAGGGTGGAAACATCTAAATTGGTGTTTCCTGTTCTTGCAGTGGTCAAGGAAAATTGTGGCACACGTGTGGAGTTTGTTTTTCCATTCTCACTATTTTCACTGAAGAGTGCTCACATTCCTGCC